CTCTGTCCCCTTCGGAACGACAGTTCTTAGATCCCTGTGTACACGTTTTTACCCGGACAGCTATTGGACCCAGTAGGTACCACATGACTCTAACTTGCTAACTTATGGAACAACTTGCCACTATTCCATTCAGGTCAGTTCCTAGAGTTCATTCTAGGTATTTCATCCTTTAATTATCAATATTTCATAACATACATGTTCATGCATCATACAGCATTATTCATCAGATCAAACATACTCAAACAGCGGCCTAACTCTGAGTATCAACACCCATGTTTACCGTCAGGCAACACACAAAGTCTTGGAATCGATCCTCGACACAAACAACAAATTCAAACCAGTTAAGGTACCACACGTGTAACGCCCCAAAACATACCCTAAAATTATTAATGAATAAATAATCAATTAATCAAATTTGTTTTGATTAAAATAAATTATTGTTGGGCTTTGGGCCCATACGAAATGTGTTTTGATATCCAATATCAAAATTTGGATAAATCTCTATGAGATAAATCCAATATGTTGACTATTTGTGTGTTCTTGATTGGAAACCTGACTACAGATCCAAATCAAGAATAAATGAATAAATTATTTATTATGTGAACTTTAAAATGATTTATTGAAATAATTCATGAGAACAAATGATATGAATTAAATGTGAGAACCTTTTTGAATAAAGGTCAATTAAACCAATTTTGACTCTGTCAAAGTCAAACACCCAAAAATATGATGTCGGAAAAAGTATTACAAATAATTATGAAAAATACCCCAAAAAGTTGGACCAAAAAGTGTACCCAACTAGAACCAAAATTGGTCCCAATCAGGGACACTGTGGAGACGGCGCCTCCCAGTGCACTAATTCATTTCCTACGCAGAGCTACCGCTACAGAACTTGTCTTCTTCTTCCTTTTCATTTCCTATATAAGGAGGAAGAACCAGCTTCTATTTCTGCACCAAAACAAAGTAAATATAGTATCATTGTGTTCCTTGTTGAGTGGAGAGTTCATTGGTGTTTTCAATTTGGTGTGAAATCGTTGGAGTTGGGAGTATTTGTTGCCGGAAGTTTCGCTGGAAAATTTCCAAAATTTCCGTTAAGCTTTGAGGTAAGCCCGTAGATATATCTAATGACTAGAATGTTCATAAAGGTCATTTTTACGTTCATAAACGTTCATTTGGTTGAGTTTTGGGTTTGACATGTTTGAAGAACTAAGAATCGTAAACCATGATTTTGATGTTAAAACTATGAATTAATGATGCCAAAATGATCTATGAACCTTGGAGAATATTTTTATATATTTTAATTGATGTTTGGGAAGTAAAAATGACATTTCTGCAAGTTGACTCGAGGTAGAAGACGATGAATAGTCAACTATCAACTTAAAAATCAACTATAGCTTGTTCTGCAGATTTTTGGAATAGAGCTGAGCAACAGTCGATTGTCAGAATGTGACAATCGACTGTCAGCCCTCTCTGAAGATGAATTGGAACTTGATAATCGACTATCAGAATGTGATAATCGACTATCAGCCCATTCAGAACATCAAATAATCGATTATCAGAAGTGATAATCGATTATCTCCCTACACTATTGAAGAAAATGAAGCCAGGAGCTAATAATTGAATTTTCTATCATATATTAATCAATTGTTGTTTAGAAAACATGATTTTTGACTATGAAACTCTATTTTTTTTATACTAATCAATTATTATTAATATAAAGATGATTTCTTGGAATAAAAATGATGTTTTGACAACTAAAAGGACCTTACGTGATGCATGACGTGTTGTATTTAGGTGCCCTAGTGGCAATCAAATACCTATGTAACTGTACACTTTATCATGAATGAAAGGCCTTGAAGTATGTTTTATATCTCGTGTAACATAACATAGCTTCAGTCCATAGACGATAGCGCTTCAGTAACATAGATGAGGACTACGATGTTCTGATTATGAGACTGTTACTTCTTGACGAAGGCTGTGTCTAGAATATCCCTAGTCGCACTTTATGATAATACGGACGTCATAACGTATCAAGACTAGTACGTACGAGATGAGATNATCTGTCCCTTCTACTGTATAGAAGTATAATGTCAATGGGCCCACTGAATAGTAGGACTTGGGAAAGTGCATGGCCATGCCCAGATATGTCGCTATCTAGAGACTGATAAATATCTGATCCCTGCCAGTCTACTTGAGATTCAGTAACAGCTGATTTAACTATACAAGGATACACATCCCATGCCTTGTGTTAAATCATGACATTTAGGACAGAAGGATAATAGTTATAGAATGTCTTGTGTCGTAGAAGGTGTTGAAACACGGGTTTATCGTGTTTTCGTACTAAAGCCGTGTTCGTTTTTATGACAGGTTTTGATAATGCCAAACCGCCGTGAACGAGACAAGTTATTGAAGATACAAGGCGAGAAATAAATATAAGAAGAAAGCAAGAGAACAAGACCCAAAAGAAGACCAAGAACGAAGACCGTAGTCTTAGTGTTGTTGAGTCGGTCATAATTGTGATCAAGACCGACCCAACCTTTACACCTTGGCTAAAATTCTTTTCATTGCATTTCACAAATCATAAAAATGTTTTTCAAACATGTTTAAAACATTAAAAACACTTGGTGTTCGCCTAAACCAAAAATCAAGCCATCCGGCGTTCGGGTTTCAGAAACCGGCGTTCGGCATTCGGTTTTCGGCGTTGGTTTTTGGCGTCCGAACTAACCAAGTGGTTTTCAACTTTTTATGATTGGTTTTCACTTCTGGGCACATTTAAATAGTTTTCCATCAAAAACACTTCAAAAACCACCTTTCGTTTTTTGTCGTTTGATAAAAACCACGCGAAACGGCATAAACTTGGCTAGCCGTGGTTTTCACTTAAATGAAGTGGTTTTCGAGTCTTTTTTTGTGGGAATTGTTTTTCAATGCATTTAAATGGTTCTCCAATCAAAACATCATGAAAACCACCTTCTGGTTTTGTCTTTTGGTGAAAACCACCCGTGTACGGTGTTGACTTGGTCAACCATGGTTTTTACCTTAACGACGTGGTTTTCAACTTACAAATCTTTTTTTTGACATCACAATACATTAAATAAGTGTTTTAAATACTTAGTTTTTACTTTGGAGAACTTTGCATTTTTCGGTCGGGTTTCAGCGCCGGTCGGCTAGGCCATGGTTCTAGGCTAGCCATCTACCCAGCGATGGTAGATTTTACCCATGCATGGGTAAGTGATCCCGGGATTCCAGAATCATGTCACCCCGCGATGGGAAGATCTTCCCATCGATGGGTAAGCAGTCCCTTAGCCAAACCAATTTCCAGAACCATGCCAAACAGCGATGGGAAGTTCTACCCATCGATGTTAAAGCCTTGGTGCAACATTACCACAAGGCAGAATGCCCTTACCCAGCGATGGGAAGCTTTACCCATCGATGGGAACCCAGCGATGGGAAGGCTTAACCATCGATGGGAAGGCATGACCGTTG